CTCCCCCACCCGCCTCGTTCCCCCACCCCCCAGCCTGAGCCCTGGTACTGCCATGCGCCTTCACAGCTCCACTGCTGTGTCTCCCTAGGTCCTGCTTAAGGAGAAGCTGGCCACAGAAGCCCCGCCCTAAGCTGCCCACTCAGCGATTCAGCCCCTCACTTGAAGTGTGGGGTCTGCATACTCTTCTCATGGAACTTCTAGAAGTTTCAAAGCATTGCCCTCCCCTTGTCTGCATGTAAGTGCACACTCTACTACCCTGGGAACTTGGGTGCTAACATTTTCCACAGCACAGAACAAGGAGCAAAGGCTGGCTTCTAAGGAGTAGGGGAGTTCCGCCTGGGGTCTCGGAGTCCCAGATGACAGTGGTCCAACCTCTGGGGTCCACCATCCGCTTAGGCTGCGGCACACAATTCTGGGGTCTCTACCGCGTGGGGGGGTGGTATTTTTTTCTCTGAGTTCCCAAGTGTTCTACATCATTAAAGACACAAAGCACTAAGATGATGTCACCACCAAGGAAACCACCACGGACTGGGTGCCGGCCATGCTGGGAGAATGGAGGGACTAGCTCACCTGTGCTACTGCGGAGGCGAACTGAGGGTGTTTATCTAGCACTCTAACAGCACCTGGCGCAAACACTATGGACTTTCATGTATTTTGCCATTTTAATTATTATGATTTTTTTCATTGCCTCGTTAGTTTGCACAGAAATCTTTATGAGGTGTGTACTGTTATCATTCCTACTTCAGAGGACAGGAAACCTGAGGCTTCAAAAGAGTAAACAATTAGCTCAAGTCTGAAGAACAGGCAGGGAGCTCAGGCCTGGCCTTGCTGGCTCCTGGCCCAGGCAGCCATTGATCTAGGTGTGCCAGGGCAGAAGGCAGGATGACTCCCAGAGAGGCACACAGGGGAGCCAGAGGGCAGCTGGGAGGCCTGGTCAGAGGGCGAGGCAGGCCTGGGGCCTTTTTCTACAAGGACACACAGTCCTCCCAATCCTATGCCTCTCCTCATGGAGGACAGAAAGCAAGCTGCTTTAGAACAATGATTAAAAGAGAAGACCACTCCTGCCACAGGCTATTCCAAAGCTCCACAGCGACCAGAGCCTCCAACGTCTCAGGGGACACTGAGTCTGAGGTGAGAAGAATGACCCTCTGGCCACCCAGCACCCGCTGGCTGAATGCCAAGCAATATTTTTCCTTCCAAACTAATGTATCACTCTGCTGTACAAATCATTTGAAGGCCAAAAAGATGCCCCTTGGTGACCATGGCAACATTACACAGACAAAACATTTCAAACAGCTTTGACGCACATACAAACTTACTGAAGGCCCAACAAGATGTGTTTAGTGGGGGTCACGGCATGGGGCATGTTCTATCTACAGCTCCATGTCCAAGGATTTGGCCCCCAAAGTATCAAAGTCATGCTCGAATAAGCCAACAAAGTCTGTAAAAACAAGCCGAGGCCAGGCTTGCACTGGAGAAGGAGAATGCTACCATTCATTTTTTTTTGTATCATCAGTGCTATCCAGGTTCATCTTCTGAAGGTCAAGGGGTGGTGGGTGCAGAGAAGAGCATCAGGCTAGAGTCCTGGAAATAGCACCTCACAACCCAGCACCTGGGCTTCGACCTGAAAGGGGCGGTGTCATGGCAGCCACAGCAGATCAGGAGGACTAAATGTACATGCCAGTATGGCGGGGCTTTTAACCAAGCACCACTGTAGACAGTCGTCAGCGCTGACATGAAGTCAACAGTTGGGCAGAGCCTGCAGTTCCCAGAACCCCATCAGTGCCACATGATTACCTTGGATTTCTTCCTTTAGAAAAGGTCATTCTGGGACTCCCCCTGGATATAGCAATCTGGGGAAAGATAAGGGTTATTCCAAGTCTAATAAGATCTCTGTGCTTGTAGCAGATCCCACCTTTCACTCTGGGCACAACAGGGCAAGGGCTGACACCACAGAGGGCTCAGAAGGGGCTTGCAGCTGTAGTTCTGGGCTTTAGACGATCAATTAACAATATTCTCTGGAGATCCAAGGCACCCTCCGGCAAGTGGACATGCAGAAAGGGGGTTTGTTCATGCCTACTGCCTCTGCCGGGTTCCATGTTCCACACACCATCTTCTGTGCTGAACCCTCTGCCTTCCAAGACTCACCCCTTCCAAGGCATTGCCCTGGGGGTGGAACAGGCTTGCTTTATGCTACGCACAGGTGTCTGGGAGTTGCTGCAGAGTCTGAGTGTTCTAATTGTTCTCTGGCCTCTCACCCACTTATCTGCATGTCCTGTGGGCAGAGACCGTACCTTGCTGTCTACTCTTTACCTGGACAAGCTCAGGGCCTGGCACCATGTGATTGCCTGCTGACTGACAGACCAGTAGGATGCAAATCATGCTCCTCCTCTGAGAACCGGAGTACACTGCGCCTCCTTTGAGAATGGGGTACACTGCGCCTCCTTTGAGAACGGGGTACACTGCGCCTCCTTTGAGAACTGGGGTACACTGCTCCTCTCTTGCCCCCTACAGTTGCTTTTCTTCAGTTCCATTCTCAAAGGTCCTGGTTGATAATCTGTTTCTGTATTTGGGGGGAGTCACCCTCCCAATAGCTCATCCTTCCCCAAGTTCTCATTTCATTGTGTGCTAGCCTCCCTCTTTCAAAAGGATGCTTTCTCTCAAACAAGAGCAAATGGCCATCACTCATCTTCCTAAATAATGAACGCCTAGCAGGGACTAACCTCTTGGGAGTCCAGAAATGGTGGCATACTGTGCCACACTCTCAAATTATGTTTCCCATGCATAGACGAGCTTTAACCTGTGTGTGATTTTACAGACACACACACACACACACACACACACACACACACGCACACACGTAGAGTTAATGGTTTGAGTATGAAATCTCCTCCTTTGGCTCACACGCGTTTGAACACTCGGTCCCTAGCTGGTGGTTCTGTTGGGAGATTGTGGGACCTAGCTGGTAGACATGAGGTCACAGGGGTGGGGGCTTGAGGTCATTCCATTTCCAGGATGAGTTCTTTGCTTCCTGATCCATGTAAATGTAGCCAGTCACACTAAGTTCCCACTGTCACGGGCCCAGCCACTCTAACTGCCATGCCCTCCCCACCACAAAGGGCCATGTTCTCTAAACTGTGAGTCAAAATAAATCCTTCCCCCCTTTACACTGTTTCTGTCAGGTATTCTGATCCAGTAATGAGAAAATCAGCGTACACACACACACACACACACACACACACACACACACACACACAGGGATGTTCAGCCAGCCAGAGCAACAGCTGACTTACTGCATGACCTGACCTGGTAAGCTGTCTTGTGCATGGTCTCTGTTTTATGATGTATGGTAAAGGGCAACAGCCCTGTTGTCTATACCACCAACAGCATAGAATGCCTGTGGTAGTCATTCTTCTACCTTCCTGGACTCACATCCTGCTTACTGAACCCTTGCTTTGCTTCCCCACCCCAGACTGGAACTAATTATCCCAGGCAATTAAAGGATTTTTATATTGCTGTTCTAAAAACATACTCAGCATCCCCCCATGCCCCCCCAAATAGCTGAGCTGTGGAGAAACCACAAGCTTGTCTTGCTGCTATGATAGTATTTATAAAAAACACATTTGCAGATAAAAATAAATTTGCAAAGAAGAATCTGAGATGGTAATATTTTATAAGCTTGAAAGTGGACTAATAATAAGCAACACCTCAAATAAGTGGTACAAAAATACATTTGTACCAAATAAAATAAAAGGTTGCCGACCTTCAAATGTCAGCTCTACACACATGACGATAGGCTGGAACACATGCACTAATATCCACCCCAGAGGGAGGAAACTCCTGTCCTTCATGTGAAGGCACCACTGCATTTGTACAATTCTTGCACTAAAATTAAGTCTTCTATCATCCAAAATTTCTCAATTATTAATACACCAGACAGCTGCAGTAGCACCAGTAAAAATAGCAGCCAAGCCGTCCCCAAACGCAAAGCAGCTCTCAGAGTCCTGCCTGGGGATTTTCCTATGGAAAGAATGGCTGGACTCCGGATCAAATGAAAAGAAACACAACCTCCAGTGGACTCACTAAGGAGAAGAAAGTTACTCCAGAATATAAACTGAAAACTGGCATACCACTGCACACACGTCAGCCTAAAAGTGTTGTCTGAAAAGGCTACTTCTCTTCAACTAAAACCATACTTGTATGTATTGTGTGTGTGTGTGTGTGTCTTAGGACACAAACAACTCAGAAAATTAAACAGAATTCAAGAAATGCCAGTCACTCTGGTCATCACCACAGCACCTATCAATGGTGCAGCTTGGGGCGGGGTGGAAAAACATATGCCCTGTTTCAGATTTATGGAAGCAAATGAATGCCCAGGCATCAGGACATCCTGACAGACCCTGACAACAGTGTCCAGAAGTGAACCACTGAGCACTCCAAGTACCATCCGTTTCCTCCGAACGCAGTGATCGGTTTTAAGTCAATGACTTTCTACAGCACAAGGAACAGACTTAAAGATTAGTTTCGGCACTTTTAAAGCTTAACTGCACCACTCCAGCGAGGATATCGCTTGTCAAGGTTGCTGAGCAGAGTCCAGATGTGACTGTTCATTTCCCGTTGGCCCTCACAGTGCCAATTTCACACCCTCTAACCTTCACAGGCAGTCAGACTGCATGCCCCACCACGGATCAGAAGGGTCTCATCACCCTGTCCCAGCCTCTGCACCTCACAGTGGCAGAAATCGGTTCATATCTTTGAGTCATAGACTCTTCGTGTTCTAAACATGTATGTGTCTGTGCCCACTCAGCAGTTTATTTCTTAATAAAAGCCAACAAACATCTCAGGAGCAGAGCGTGGCTACTTGAGACGGTGTGTTAGTGTGTTAACACGACCCCACAGGGTGGAGCGTCGGGTGTAAATGTTTTTAAAGCTGGTCAGGTCTTTCTTTTAAAGACATGGCCTGCTAACCTTGCACAAACACTACCCAGGGACCCACTTACCATTTGCGATCTGTTCTTTGGACAGCCATTGATGTCATCAATCTTTTCATTTGCTGTAAGAGGAAACAGAAGTCAGGAAAACAAACAGTCAGCAGAGAGACACTTGAGGCCAACCAAGTCCCAAGGCCCACACTGGAGTCTCTCAGATCAAGGCCACATGTGAAATGCTGAGACGCATCTAGCAAGCTTCAGGACTTACTCACAGAGCCGCCGTCCTCTGGGGACAGCTGGGGCAAGGTCATCAACACTTAAATCAGAGACAACTGCATTGATGGTGGTGTGGCCAGGAAGGGCACCGTCCAAGTCTGGGAAACGGTGAACTGGGATTGCCCTTCAGGCTCCAAAGAGACAAATTTAACACAGATGGGATGGTTCTGAGAGACCAGACACCTCCCATTCCTGCGGGGACAGAAGCTCACTGCACCTGTAGGCAGGAGTACGACCTTGCTTTTGACTGTCCTGACGCCAGCCAGTGGAGGCCAGTGGGGAGATAGAGAGACTGAGACCCCAAAGTGGCCTGACCAAGGCCACAGACCAAGCCAAATAGATCAGGGTGCACACAGGCTCGACGTCCAAGCTGTACCTCTGTACTGAAAGAAAGGTGCCCTGAATGAACAGGAACCGAGTCCTAATGAAGAGCGGGGACAGCCCATTTTCCAGTGGAGAGCCCCTGGTAGAGCAAACCCAAAGTTCTGTGAAAAGGTGAGAGGGAGCAGGAGCAGAAAGACAGGGGATGCTGTGCCAAAAGCACTGGGGGCAGACACTGCCATTGCACCCAGCTCTAAAGCTCCCAGCCCCCAGCTCAGCTGCCCCCCAACCTGTCTAGGCTATAAATTCTTCCTCTACAAATTGGAGCTAGCACCACCTTCCTGAGGAGGAGCAATGAGGATGAGATAGCAGGAGATCAGTCAAGTAGCACAGTGCCCAGCACACAGTAGGTGCTTCATAGGTCATTAGCCTCATGATACACTCTTATCCCGATGACGCCATGGAAGCCAGGGCTTAGAAACTCAGCCAGTGCTCCACAGAAAGGAACACGGGATTTGATGCCTTTACAAGCGCTCTCCGGCCCCATCTGTACTCCCTAAGCCCCTGTGTCACTGTAGCACACTCAGGTCTCCGCTCTGCAGGACTCTGCCCTGCATCTCACACGGGCACACCTCGTGTTGTCTCCCCAACCCAAGCTGCAAGAGCCTGGCGGGCGTGCCAAGGTCACTTTTCACATTTGTCTCCTCAGAGCTCAAAAAACTGCTTGCAAAATCTAATTCCTCCCACTCCCCCCAACTTCTCATCAGATTTTAATGAATGCAAGGGCTAAAATTTCCATAGAGAGGAAAGATATTAAACTTATGTGAAAAGGATAATGGAATCAGAGCACCCCAAACTTGCAAGATTTCAGAACTTGCTTGCCATGGCCCTAGATCGGGTTTATGTTTCGTCTAGCGTTTATGTCTTAAGAGAGAAGCTCAAAGGACAGGAGATTCTTAAAATCTAACCAGCACAAGCTGGCCTGGATAGCTAGTATAAGACTGCCTAATTTACACCTGCCAAAGTTATTAGATATTTAAGGCAGCGACCCACCAGGGGACCCTCAACCTTCAGAGATATAGTCAAGGATTTTCAACTCTGCTTAATGTAAGAACACTGGGATAGGAGTTTTAGAAAGCCTATGACCAAAAGAGTGTCAAGAAAAGACATAAAGAGATGCCCAATGGCCAGGGACGTGGCTCAGTTATAGAGCCCTTGCCTGGCATGCACAAGACCCTGGGTTTAATCCCTAGTGGAAGGGAGGGAGGGAGGGAGGAGGGAGAAGGAGGAGGGAGGGAGGAAGAAAGATAGGGACATAAGGAGTGGGGGAGAGACAAGGAGGGAGGGAGGTGGTCAGTGAGCAGACCAACTCAGACATTTGTTCTTTAGTCCATCAGAAAACAGAAGTACCCAGAATAGATCACTGTCACATAAACTCCAGAGACAGATTTCTATCGGCTTCATTTCCTACCATGACCCCAGAGCTCAGGGCAGCGCCTGGCACAGCAGCCGTTCAGTAAATATTTGTCAAATGGAATGAAGAAAGGGGAGCTCTGAACATTTCAGCGATGGCTTTGCTACCCAGTTTGAGGCAGCTGTCCCTTCACTGGTAAATATAGATGCACACACTGAAGACAAGAAAAGAAGCGGACACCCTCGTAACATTCCTGCTCCCGTGGGAAGCTATGGCAGGCACAGTGGCTGGTCTTGGGCTTCGATATGCTAGAGGAAGCATGTGGTTCTTGAGAATGGACAACCAAGGTGTCATCCACTGCATACTCATGAGAGCCAAAGTTGTAAACCACTGAGTCCTGATCAGTACCTACAATCAGTGCCCACTTCCTTAAGTCCTGGCCAGTGCCCACACAGCTTTAGATCTACCAGGGCTCATCAGAGAGAAGGGAGGGTAGCTGGGATCCTAGAGAGTCACTTGGGAATATTAAAGATTCTTTGCTATTGCATCTGGGTAACGGAAACGAAAGAGTTTGGTCTAACTGTCCCTCTACTTCTCACTTGCAGCCCCTCACATAAGCCTACTCATGGGCTCTGTGAATCCAAACACCAGTGCCCCAGTAATCTAATGCTACCATTTACAGCAGTGGAGATAAACCCACAGTGTGGCGTCTACTTAACGTCACTCAGTCCATGCAAAGACAAGTCAGCAGGCTAATCCAACTCAAATTAAATGCTAAAGACTACAAGGTAAGTCTTGGGTCTCCTAGTTTGCAGTTTTATGTAGCTTAAATACCTCTTACCTAAACCCCCAAGAATCCCTATGGTTGTCATAAATACTCAGTACTAATTAGAAGCACTGCTGGTTCTTTCGGACCTTCATAGCCAAATGTATTAACTCAGTGTAATGGGTCTTCGGTTGGAGCCAAAAAGCAGATAATTAAAGAAGCAAAACATTTCTCTCCAGAGTGTTCAACCCTGATTAAAACCGGCATCTCCAAAAGCCTATGATAATTTATTTTCCCAGTCTGTTCAAGACATTCTCAGCCCCACTAACATGATCTGTCTGCACACAGGGTGACAAGTTAGTGATTGGAAAGCATGCAGGACATTTTAGCACACCTGGCTATAGAGAGAGGTACAGTACCACAGGTTACCTAAACTTCCAGGGCATGATCACAACGGCAGCCCGGGGGCGGAGTGGAAAATGAGAGCCTCTCAATTCTCCCCATTCCTAGGAGGACCCCTTCCTTCTTTCCAGCTCTCTTCTTCAATACCTTCCCTCCCTCCCTTTTCTCTGTCTCTCTTCCCTCCCCTCCTCCCTCCTCCCCTCCTTTTACTGTAGCTCCTTTGGAGTCTCTCTCTAGTGACAGCAAAGTGAACAGATGTGAGGCACCCACCTCCTCTCTTCACATGGCTTTCCTGGCCTCGAGGAGCTTCCAGGTACCTGGGCACTGGAATGAGGTGGCAGCTTGTGACTCAAGATCCTCACACTAGCAAGAGGCTGAGTGTGGAGACCCAACCTTCTGTTATCAAAGGCAGGGACTTCAATGGTAACAGTGGAAGGCCCACACTTCCACCTACCCGACAGAAGGCACAGTGGGGAAGGGTGGAGGTGGGGTCACCTGGGACGGGTGAAGACTGAGTAGAAACAGGTGGTCGAGCATGAAGCTTTCTCTTGAAGTCACAGATCTGATGCCACTTCCCAGCTGGAAATAATCTGGGTCCTAGGCGGAAGCCCAGCATCCCCTGTGCTATACCCAGGGACCCCGCCTGACACAACCCTGTGGACCCTGTGTTTCCTCCCTCAGGCTTTCCTCACAAGCCCCTCCTCCAGGAGCACTTTCCTGGTCTGCTTCTGCTTCCCACCTCCCACCTAAGTTGAGATCCATTTTCTCTCTCCCTCTTCCCAACCCCTCTTTTTCCTCTATTGAGGAACACATTATTTTATTTTAGTTTTTAAAATATTTATTATTTTTATCTTATGTGTATGTGTGTTATGCCTGCATGTAGGTAAGTACACCCGGGTTGTGCAATGCCCACGGAGGACAGAAGAGGCCGTCGGATCCCCTGGATGCAGTTACGGACAGTTGTTAACTGCCATGTAGGTGCTGGGATTGTAACCTGGGTCTTCTGCAAGAACAACCAGTGCTCTTAACTACTGAGCCAGCTCTCCAGCCCCCAGGACACATTATTTTTAATAAATCATCTGATTACCATTTTTGACAGTGTCTTGATATGTTACTTAGGCTGGTCTTGAACTCCTGGCCTCAAGTGATCTCCCTGCCTCAGTCTACTGCTGGGATTCTATAGGCTTGGATTCTATAGGCATGCTCCACTACCCCTGGCCTGAATCATTTCAGAGTAAGCTGCACAGCTCACACCCTGTGCCCCGTATTCTGTGTGGATCTCCAAAGAACACAGATACCATCTTTCATGGTACAATTACAAAGTCAGAAAATTAAACATGGATGTGATGCCAGTACTCCAGGTTTGACAACCAACTCAACACTGTCTGAGAAGGAGCCCTCTTCAGCTTTCTTCACTCTGGAATACTTTCTTACTTTGTCTTTCAAGGCACTGATGGTTTTGTGAAATACGAGCTAGGTATAGATCAGTTTTGTTGCTGGCTTAATATTTTTTTTTTAAATAGAATATTCCACAATTAGGGTTTGTCTGAAATTCCTCGTGGTTAGTTTTAGATGCTCCATTCCCGACTGGATCACCAAAGAAGTTAGGTCAGGTTCATCATAATACAATATCAGAAACCCATTGACTCCCATCTACCCCTTACCAGACTTGGGTTCTCATCACATGACCATGATGTGTTCCTGATAACCCCTTTCATGGCGACCAGATCTCACTTTTCAAGACGCGTACAAACAGGAGGCCCCGAGCTTTGCCTTCGGCAAGCTCCTCCAGATTCAGTGCCCACCGAGGGCTTCCACGAGGCCTGCAGCTCCCTCTGTGCTTAACAGCAGCAGCACACTCTTGCAGCATGCCCCTGTCTTCTCCAGCGATGTGCTTATTTGTAAATTACCTACTCATTGTCTGTATAGCTCATATTTTACTC